TGGTGAATAAAAGAAGAAATGAGGACTTTATGGAGCTGCTGAGGATCCCTCTCTGCTGTCCTTCAACAGCCAGAGTATTTTTCCTTTGTGTTATTGTCTTACTAAATGAAATTGTCTGAACTGTGTTAGCTTCCAGCCCCTTTCTGCTCCCAGAGACAACTTAGAATCCATGAGAAAAGATGAAATTGGAGCCCAGAATGATGAGGGCTCTGTACAGAATAGCTGTGACATGTAAGTCTATGCCGAGATGATAAAAGCAGGTACAACAAGCTTACAGGAGGGAGTGCCCATGAAAGATGACACTAGCTGTAATAAGACAATGTAGCTTTAAATCCTGAGGGAGTTCACAGCTCCATGCCTCCACATTGTTCCCTGAGATCACTTACATTTCCATTTTAAAGAAATAAATTTCATTTATCCTCACTTGTACCTTAATAAGTCATCATCAACTGACTATTTTTCTAGTAGGTATTGAGGTACCAGCAGTTTTTGAGGAAGAATTTGAAAGGGAAAATGGTTTATCTCTGTAGACCTGTTTGGGGATGGTGTTTGGAGCCTTGGGGAGAGGCAAAAGGAAGCAAAAATGATAACAGCAGAAGAAACAGAGGGGGCATTTGTTTTGGTTGCAGGGTAGAAGAGAAGTGATAATATGATGTTAGAAAAATCTGTTCTCTTCCCCCAAGTACAAAGAAAGATTAAAATTAAAAAATTAGCTTAGTAAAGTTACCTAGAATTAAAAATCACCTACTATTAATTAATTAATTGTTGCCCACTCTTCATTGCAGTGCTCTGAAACAAGTCCTGTTTTGACAGAAGAGTGCATGGGGGTCTCCTGCAGGGCTGAATTACCTCATTTGATTTCCAGACTCCTTGCCAAGATTGTGTGCTCTGCACTGGGTACCTGCTCCAGCAACAGGAAACTAATACATGTTTTCTTCACATCAGCTATGCTGACATCACTGGAGCTAGCAGAGATGCAGAGGATGATTCTGGCAGCTTTGCCTACCAGTTAATAGTGCTTCTTTTTTTGTATTACTTCAGGGAGATGTTGTTAGGCTGTTTCATGCAGAGCAGGAGAAGTTTCTGACCTGTGATGAATATGAGAAGAAACAGCATATTTTCCTTCGCACTACGTTACGTCAGTCAGCCACTTCTGCAACAAGTTCTAAAGCACTGTGGGAAATAGAGGTATTTCTTTCTTTTTTATAAATATTTTAGGACCTGAAGGGCGGGGTTCAGTAAAAATACTTCACCACAACATGAATCATTCATAGCCTCTTGATATCATCATGCACCTCCCCGTACCTATTATTATTTTATGAAGCTGTTTGTGTAGGATGAGCACTGAAGAGATTCTTTATTGGTCTACATGTGTAGAGAGGGGATGTTTTCTTACTAGATTTACCTGCACTAAAGTGATGAAGAGTCAAATTCAGACTTGATGCAAATGTGATTTTATCAGAGCCAGTCAGATGACACTCATGTATCCTCAGTTCTGAGTGTTTGTATTTGACTTCACCTGCAATATAGAAAATTGAAATTCATGACTGACAAGAAGTATCAAAAAAGTGATCAAATCCATTCTTGCGCAGCAAGGCACAGCAGTATCTGTTTAAAGTTAGGTTGAATAGATCTGTTGTTGCTAAATGGGGGCGATTTTGAGAAGATGGCTAGCAAGTATATTTTTGTTTAACTGAGGAATGTTGGAAACTGGTGTGTCTCAAACCCTTACCTTGTTACTACAGCAATGTAATTCCTATATCCAAAAGTTTTTGTGCTGAGCAAACTTTGTGCATTTAAAACAGAGCTCTTTGCTCTGGCAAATGGTTGAGTTTTGTCCGGGTAAGGGCCATATAGAATATATTGCACTTGTAGTTATTTGAGATTACTCCTTAAGAAAGGCAGGCACTGCTAGGTTTGAAGGTAGCAAATGACCTATAGCTCAGTCAAGGAGGAAAAGAAACAACCTGGAACATTTCAAATGATGTGGGGATATTTTATCACTTGAACAAAATTTTATCAGAAGCCTCTAGTGCTGTCAAAAATAGAGCTGGTGTAAGTGGTGGAAGCATGTAAGAGGGCTTGAATTTTGCTTGTAAGTTGTGCCTACGTAAGTGTAGAGCAGTTCCACTTTCTAGAGCTCCAGATTCACTTTGTCATTTTAAGGCAAAATTTGGCTCATCATATTTTCAGGGAATAGATTAATGAAAACTTGGAATGTAATAGGAGGAATATTTCCTGAAACCTGGCAAAAAAGTAGTTTTAGTAGTTGTGAGCTCTGGTGGGCCTAGAGTGAGCAGAGAATTCCTCTCTGTGGTAGGCTATTTGTAATTATGTAGTTTACATATTTGTATTTGGAATGAGCTGTAAGAGATGTCAGCGATCTAAGAATGATTTTGAGGAGCACAATAAAAATTCATTCTTCTTCTTTTAGGTTGTCCATCACGACCCTTGCCGGGGAGGGGCAGGACAGTGGAACAGCTTGTTTAGATTTAAGCATTTGGCAACTGGAAACTACTTAGCTGCAGAGGTAAGAATGTCACTTAAACAAGAGGTCATGTGCTTGCTAAGCAAATACTATTCATGTCCTGCTAATTCAGAAGTGCCATAGTAGGTAGGTCCATGATGTAGGTCTCCGACAAGGTCACACATCAGCTCTGAATGGGGAGCACTGGACGTGCACTGCTGTGTCATGCTGTGTTCCTACAGCCAGGATTTGCAAGGAAAGTTTTCTGAGCTACAGGACATTAGTAGGTGAGTTCAAGGCAGCATCTAACCACCTTCATTTCAATGGTGCTGTTGCATCTTGAATCTGCTGTTGTCATGGCAGCCAGGGCAAGCAAGACTGTTAAATATCTACCATATTTACATTGAAAATCCTTTAATTCCTTTATCACTCTGCTCTTGTTTGCCCTTGATTTTTGGAGCAGTGTTGTTATCAGTTAAGTATTCTTCCTTTCTGGCTCAGGCAGCCATATATATAAAGGTTTTAGAGTGAAACTGAATGCAAGGTAAACATTGAGGTTGATCAGAGAATTCTGTGTGCAAGCACTAGAACAGATTCTCTAAACTGCTCTAATTTGAGAGTTGTCAATACCTTTGTCCCTTCAGACTATACTTCTTGAAAAAATGTTTCTAGAGTGCTGACTACAGTTTATTGATCTCTACCAGCCAGCATGTGGTCCAAGGCATCTCTGCATTCTGTAGAAATTTGAGGAAGGAGAAACTTGTATATTGTTATCATGACTATTTGTGTCATGCTAGCGTGTTGTGATTATAAGCAGGTTGTAGTGTTCTGCTATTGTACTCTTGTCTTTTGACTGCAGTTTTAATAAGCAAAGATCTGAGGAAGCCTTTGCCCTTTTTAGTGGAACAGAAGGTCCAAGAAGAGAAGGAAGATCTTGCAACTCGTCTGGTTATTATCTGGCACTTTGTTAAGGCAAAACAGTGTTGTGATGCCCTGGAAGAGCAGCTTAATATCTTTTATGACCTATAATTGTCCTTTAGAATAGAACAGGGCTCTTGACAAGCTGGAATAGAGCTGGTAATACCAAGTTTATGAAATGAGAAAGCTGTGGGTTTTTCTCTCCATGTAAGAGGTTGTGAACCTTTTAAGTCATATCTAATCCATATTAGAACTGGCCTGTGTCCAAGTTACACTGATGGAAAGAAAAGCAGGTTTTTTTTTTCCACTGCTTTAGTTAAATCTGTGCAGGATTGTTTCTTTTGACTTACGCTTGGAAACAGGAGTGTGAAAATTTAGAAGAGGCAGTTATGACTATGTTCGGGAATCCCTGAATAAAAAGAGTTGCTTTAGGTGGCTTGAGTTATGTTTACAGCAGTGCAACTTCTGTATGCAGGCAACTCCTTAGTATTCCTAGGGTGCTGCTGTTGCTTTCCAGCTCCTCTCACAGCCTGCACTGATTTCGGAGTAAGAGCAAGTAGGAGCTATCAAACCTTTACTTACTTCTGAGTATGTCAAAACCAGTGTCAAAACATAAACAGTGGGCCCCAAGGACCTATACTGTGGTATTACTTGCTGTCTAAGGCTGAACATAATTTGGATCTTTTAATTTGTTTTAGTACTATATCACGGTGTAAGTTAGAAACCTGATAGGCCTGAGTGGCAAAGAGCATCATCCCTTTAAGGGCAGTGAACCAACATGCCTTGACTGCTCTGCTCTGTGGTGCTGTCTCCATACTGCAACAATGCTTTGGCTTGGCTGAAGCCAGCTGGCTTTATTGTGTAGTTAATACTGGCTGATAATTGCTAATTTTCAAGAGGCAGCTAGTAATCCCACCTAAGAGATGGTTCCATTTCCCTCTCTGCTCACAGAGAGAGATACTTCTAATAGAAAGATTTTATTCAGGCTAGCTGGGCTGATGGATGTCAGGAAAGGCATCAAGCACTCTGACTGATGGACCATCCCTCATCCACTCAGGGATTTTCAAGAGAAAATCACTCTCTTCAGGTGAAGATGTGTCACACTACACTGGAAGTCAGACCTGAGTTTAGGTCCTTTCTGCCTCTGGAAAGGAAATCCCCATCAGGAAGACTGGTCATATCGAGAGTACAGTTGGCACAGTAGAGTGAATGTTGGAGGAGCTTGTGGGTTGAACAGAGGAGATATGCTGTGACTGTTGGGCAGCATTAGCTACTGTGTTGAGGAAGTGTAAAATCCCTGCTAGTGGAGATATTAAAGGTACTGCTGGAATAAGTACACCTAATGTGTATGAGCTGACTTGAAATCAACTGGGCAAAGCTTACTAAACACTTACCTGTGATCCTGCAGCATAAGATTACTCATGGTGTGGATTATCAGCAGTGTCACACATTACTGTGACCTGCTTTTATTTGAGCTTCCATAACAAAGGTATCTAGAGTGGGATAATAAATACAAATGCATAAACAAAATTCGTGAATTGTAAAATGGTTTGGGGTGGTGGGAACCTTAAAGATCATCTAGTTCCAACCCTCCCACCATGGACAGGGACATCTCCCGCTAGACCAGGTTGCAGAAGTCCCCATCCAACCGGGTCTTGAATACATCCAGTGATGGAGCATCTACAGCTTCCCTGGGCAACCTGCTCCAGTGTCTCACCACCCTCATAGTAAAGAAGTTCTTTACATCTAATCTAAATCTACTCTCGTCCTGTCCCTAGAAGCCCTTGTAAAAAGTCCCTCCCCAGCTTTCTTGTAGGCTTCCTTCAGGTACTGGAATGCTGCAAGAAGGTCTCCTCGGAGCCTTCTCTTCTCCAGGCTGAACAACCTCAGCTGTCTCAGGCTGTGCTTGGAGGAGAGGTGTTCCAGCCCTCTGGTCCTCTTCATGACCCTCTGGACCCATTCCAACAGGTCCATGTCCTTCTTGTGTTGGGGGCTCCAGAGCTGGATGCAGTACTGCAGGTGGGGTCTCACAAGAGCAGAGTAGAGGGGGAGAATCACCTCCCTTGACCTGCTGGCCACGCCTCTTTTGATGCAGCCCAGGATCTGGTTGGCTTTCTGGGCTGCACTCACATGTTTTTGGCTCATGTTGAGCTTTTCATCAACCAGCACCCCCAGGACTGTTTCTCCTCAGGTCTACTCTCAATCCATACTGTGCCCAGGCTGTATTTGTGCCTGGGGTTTCCCTCACCCAGGTGCAGGATCTTGCACTTGGCCTTGCTGAACCTGATGAGGTTGGCATGGCCCCATCTCTCAAGCCTGTCAGGGTCCTTCTGGATAGCATCCCTCCCTTCCTTCCAGTGTATTGACTGCTCCACACAGCTTGGTGCCATCTGCAGACTTGCTGAGGGTGCGCTCAGTTCCACTGTCCATGTCACTGACAAAGGTGTTGGTACCAGTACTGCTCTCTGAGGAACACCACTCCCTTTTGGTCTCCACTTGGACATTGAACCATTGACTGCAACACTTTGAATGCAGCCATCAGCCAGTTCTTTATCCACTGAGCAGTCAGTTCATCCATCAAACCCATGTCTTTCCAATTCAGAGGCCAGGGTGTCATGCAGGACAGCATGGAACACTTTGCACAGCTCCAGGTAGATGACGTCAGTTGCTCTTGCCTTATCCACATTGAATCTTTTAAGCAGTCTGTTGCTGGCTAATGAGACAACTCCTGTCAGAGCTTGGAACTACTGTAAATCAGGATTGTTCACTGTTTATAATGATCTTTTCCTTACTTCATCCCATTGTAAATCAGCTTGATGCATAACATGGAGACTTCTGCAGTGGCATCTGGTTTGGCTTAAGTCTTAGACAATGAACAGAAGTGTCCTTCACCTGGCTGTCTCCTTTTGCTCCTCCACAGTTAGGTTTGCACCTTACATGAGCAGTGCTGTGCCTTGTTTTTCTCTGAGCTTCCTGTGCCAGACGTAACTGTTCTGTCTGGGTGACTCTGGGTCACTACTGAGCTATGTAGTGAAGAGATGCCACTGCAGCTTGGGAAGGTCAGAGGATGATGGGGGCACTAAGAAAATTCAAGACACTTGCCCTGGAGAATTCAGGAATTTAAACCTAATAAAGGTGCTTCAATACTACAGTAACTGAATTAAAAAAAAAAAAAAAGTGAGGCAGTACAGTTGTTGTGTAAAGAAATTGTGTGTGTGCTTGTAAATCTAATTATTATAAACTCGAGAAAATGAAGTTACTATGGGTAAGTCCTAAATTCCATGTTCCTAAGAATCATAATCAGTCTTCCAGCTTTTGTTACCTTTCAGACTGAGTCCTCTGATACCTCTGGCTTCTGACACAGCCTGAAGTAGTACCATTTCCTTTAATCCTCTTTTCACTTGGCATTGCTTAGGCTAATTTTCATTAATATGCTTTGAAGTTCTTTAAGATCTGCTTATACCATAAAGCAACCTGGACCCTATTACCAAACTATGCACTGAAGGTGGGCCATCCTGAAAGACACACTGCTAAAGAAGACCCAGGGGCAAACATTTCCTAATTGCATGTAGCTGCATTGTTATTCCCCTTCTACTGTGCACATCCTGAGGACATGGTCTGACAATGGCCAGTGGCTCAGACATTTCTAAAACACTGAAATACTAAGAAAAAGTGGAACCAAATACTCAGCTGAAACATTGATAAGAGAAATTCTTTTCTTTGGAGACAGTGGAATTTCTGCTGCTAGTGTCATGAGAGCTTGATTTTGTCCAAAAGAATTGAGCCAGATCCTTAGCAGGAGATCTAAGCCACCAGCTAACATCCAGGCTGCTGAGGTTTAATTCTCCTCTTCAGAGTCAGCAGTCTTTTAGAAAAAGTTCTGCAGAAGTTTCTTTTTTTAGCACTGGTTACTGCAAAATGACCCAAGCTATTTTGAAGTTTTATCTTTATAAAGAAAGGCTGCAAGGTTAGGTGAAAATTGAATGCTTCCAAATAACAAATATTTTTCTCAAGTTTAGTCTTTTCAGTGCATGTAGCACATGTAAAATTCACCCAAATCTATCTCTCTGTGTGTGGGAGTGAGCTGCAGTTGACCCGAGCAGCCTTTCAAATGCTGCAGGTTGGGACCACACAGCTGTGACTTT